GTCCGACTCTTGGTTTTGGCTCAGGTGGTGACCTCAGGGTTGTGAGATCGAGCCCCGTTCGGGCTCAGGGTGGGGTTGGCTTGAGAGTCTCTCTCCTTCTCTCCCTCCTGCTCATACTCTCTCTCTCAAATAAATAAATTAATAAATCTTAAAAAAAAATAAATTACTCCAATCTCAGCAGCTTTAACACGAACAGGCTTGACCTGGCTGGGCGGCCCTGGGTCAGGCACTTACTTCGTTGCAGTCAGGCTGTTGCCGGGGCTGTGGTCATTCCGGCTGGGGCTGGAGGGTCAGCTTCCAGGCTCACGCCTGTGGCTGTGCACGGGGGCACTTGCTTCCTTGGTGTGCGAGCCTTTCCTGCTAGGGCTTCTCCCACAGTGAGTGATCCCAGGGGGAAGGGAGAGACTCTTGGAGCGGCCTGCGAGCCGCGGTAGGATCGGAGTGCGAGTTTCTAGGGTTGCTAGAACAAAGGACCCCAGACGAGATGGTTAGACCAAGGGGAATGTATTTTCTCTCAGCTGCGGAGTCTGTAAGCGTGCAGTCAAGGGGTCAGCACCATTAGTTCCATCTGGGAGCCGGGAGGGAGAATCTGATCCACGCCCCTCCAAGAGCTTTGGAAGTTGCTGGCAGTCTTGGCTGTTCCTTGGCTTGTAGAGGTTTCACCCCACATCTGCCTTCATCTTCCCACGGCCTCTCTGTGTGCATGTGTGTTTCCGTGTCCCTGTTCCCCCGTGCTCATGGGGAGAAGTCTGGCCCACCATAATGACACCTCCGTAAAGGCCCTTTTTCTAAATAAGGTAACATAAACATCTTTTTTGGAGGAACGGAATTCAATAAAACAGAGTGGAACCCTGTTGATTTGGGGAGGCTGGCAGGGAAAGGGCATTCTTTCCTGAGGGCTGGGTGGGGGAACAGCTGGGTGGTGGAGTTCTCACGCATTCCCTTGCATTTTTCTACACTTCCAAGATTTCTTGTCTACACAAGGATTAATAATTCCCTTGTTTGGGAATAGTTTCCCGAGCACACTGGGAGGCATAATGAATTTCCTCTAGGCTCTGTGACTTTCGGCAGTGTTACCAAGATCGTCCAGGATTAGGAAGTCTACCGAGGTCGGTAAACCATGGCTAAAGCTTCATTAAGATTGAGGACGTGGAGCAGCTGCCGCCGTCCTACAGGAGAGCTGAGGGGAACGGACTGAGCTTCCAGGTCTTAAGAAATTCAGCTGGAGGCTTTATGAAGTTTTCTTCCACAGATAAAGTGAAGCCGACCAACCCCTTCCATGTGAAATCGTGATAAAATGTTGAAATTCTGGGTTTAGGAAGCTAATCATACTTATCTGCTACGTTTTCACCTGAGAATTCCAAAGAAATTACCCGCATCGTTGCTGCTGTCACCACCGCTGCTATGCCGTGCCCGTTCTCACCCTCCGTGGGCCAGTGTTTTACACATTATACTGTTTGGATCTGCAGATGGTCTTCCTGGGCGGCAAGAGTGGACCAGCTGGACCCAAGTAAGGATCGGAGGAGCATGGGTTGGTAAGTGGAGGACCTGAAGTTCACAGCTGACGTCTGCCTGCAGAGACCGTGAATCTCATCTGAGATGTTCTGCCTGCGTTCCAGCAGGGCAGGGAGCCACCGCGTGCCCTTGAGTAGGGGAAGGAAGTTTGTGAGGTCCGTAGAAGACGTAATTGTGGTTGTCCTTCAACCTAAGCAGAATACGAGGAGGTCTGTTGTCCCATGCCTGCAGTCAGTCTGTGGGTTCATAGACAAGCAATCCTGCATGGCTAATTTTTTAAGTCCGCAGGCTTAACATTTCCAATCTCTCTACGTTCTCTCTCATCAAAGGCCACGGTAATCTTAGAGACATCACCTATGACATAGTGTTTGTCTGCCGCTGGTTAGGCAAATGGCAAACCAAAGTGCCCGCTCAGGGAAATTAATGCCCTCATTTGTCACCAGCCCGCACAGCAAAACCGCTAGTGCCCTTTCTTGCTGATTGACTAATGGCTTTGAGGAAAGGAACTGATAGGTAGAATGCTTCTGCTGGAAGGAGAAACTGATAAAGGGATTGACTACCCAAATCTTTTCCATTTCAATGAGATGTTCTCTCTGCTCAAATTAAATGAGCTTGTCAAAATAAATAAGAAGGCATGGTCACTATGGATGGTGGAAGCCAGGTGCTTAGTAGAGGACATCAATCCGGGGGTGGGGAGATTTCTCTCTTTCTGCGCTAGGCTGGCAAGTCTCTGATCCCATTCACTTCTTATCTTTCATGCTTTCCATACAAATATTACCTTTTGAGGCCAACTTTGATCTCCTGTCTTGGAAGCCAGAGCTTCCTTTTTTGACCTTCTACCGTTTGCAACCTGTGCCATGCAGTCTGGCACTGAGTTAACTTCTGAGTTCTTGCATAATTCTCCTGCTACACTTCTTGAGGCTGTCGATCATGTCTTACATGAGGCTGTACTCCCTGCCTAGAGCGCCACACCGAGGAAACTACAGGGATGCCCACATAACTGCTAATTGGTTGAACCTGGCAGGTGGAGCATTCATCTGATTTTTGCTGCTCAGCATCTGTTCCTGGCCTTCCTGGGACTAATTATACGGAATAATACCCAAGATGGTTCCGCCATTACCCACCATGTGCTTGGTGTTGGACTGACCATTCCTCAGTCAGTTAAGCTCATTCTGCTTGTGACAACGATTGGTTCAGGATGGGCAGATGACCAAAGGCAACAACCAGAGTAAGCCTTGTAGACGTCTCTAGAATGCGAGTTAGGGTGACTTGCATCTCCTACCCTTGGAAACTACTAGGCATCATCCCATGACCAGGAAGTGAGCTGGCATCCCATGAAGGCAGAGTAGAGAGATGTTTGAGGCCTCCATTGAACCACTGGCTCAAGGCAAGCCTGTGCACTTTCCAGTTTGAGTAACTGGTAAAATTATCTGTATGCTTTAAGCCAGTTTGAACTGTGTATTCGTTACGAGTCACCAAATGGATACCGGAGATCCATGCAACTCCCAGCCACGCCTCTTCATGTAGACGCTCTAGGTCTCCCCGAAGACCAGATGTCTTTGAAAAGAACCCTATTTGAACAGTTTCTTTTCCTCATGATACCGATATCCACTTGACGTTTGGAAGGAAAATGTCCCAACATTCCTGCACCCTGTAGGGAAAGCAGTGTATTCAGGAGGGGAAGTAGAAAGTGAACTTCCCCACTCCTATACTTCTGTCCCTCCATGGAGGGTTTCTTGGAACTTTTGAGGAAAATGGGGAAAGAGTAGCAGGTGGAGAAGGGATGACTCCAAACTTGTTTCCACATTTCCCAGGTTCTTCTGCTCACCACCCCACCGCCCCAGGGCTTGGCTCTGCCGAGGGCATGCTCTCCACCTCTTCTGGCCAACCTCTCCGGTCTTTTTCTTTACATCCTTCTCACCGCCGCTAATCACACATCGCTTACCTGGGAACTGTTGACATTGTCGACTGGGTGATTCTTTGTTGTAGGGCTTTCCTTACACTGCAGGCTCCCCGGCCTCCACTCATTAGATGCCGGCACCTCCCTCTCCTCTCCCCAGGGTGTGCCGACCAAACGTGTTTGCAGACATTGCCACACATCCCCCAAGAGTCACGATCACTGTGCCCCAGACCCTGCTGAGAACCTCTGCTCCACGGGGAGAGGACAGGGTACACTGGAAAAATGACTTACCTCCGATATTCCCTCTTTGGAGACTCTGACTTGTCCCTTTAGCAAGTGAATCCACTCGCTCAGGATCTCTGTTCTGAAATGACAAAAGAATCAGGAGTAGGACCCAGTCCCCCTAGCCTTGTGCAGATCCTCTCAATTTTGTGGGCAGCCAGCGAGCCAGTAGGCTACGGAAATTGTGTTGCCCCCTGCAGATGCTCATCATAAAGCAGGAAAACGTAACCCAGCAGTGCTGGTTCGAGTTTGTATTATCTTAGGAAAAGAATAGTAGAGCGGACACTACTTTTTGTCAAGCATCTGCAAGTACCAGCCCATCACTGAATGCTGTTTCTCCAACCTAATCATCACAGCGGTGTTTCAAGGTCGGCGTTACTGCTCCATTATATCAAGATAGATAACCTTCCTGAGCCTGACTCTGTGTCTTAGCAGGAGTCCAACTTGTGTGTGCCAGATTCAGAGCTCACACAGTTTTCCCTCTACTGGACTGACTCCATGGGGGTGGATATCTTCTCTATGCAGCAAAGGACCTGCAGTCTAGGCCCGTGGGAGGGGAGTGCTGCGGCAGGCCAGGTGCAGACAGATCCCTCCCATAGCAATAGTAACACTGCCAGGACGGTGGTAGCTTTACCTCCTCCTGTCTCCTGTCCCCTGTCCTCTGCAGGAGACATTCATCCCTGATTAGCCAGACATCGTCAGTTGGGTCCCGGCCATCATTAAATGTGCACAGAGATGGGCAACTTCAGTGCCCAGGGCTGAAAAAAAGAAAAAAGAAGGCCAGATAATTCAATTATGTTGACCTACTGGTATAGATACAAGATGATTTAGAAAACAAAAATACCAACCTTTAGCTTTCTAGCTTGATAATGAGTCATAAATGGTCCCAAGTGGATAACTGAGCTACTCTCTGAACAAAACTGAATTATGTTAAGTATTTTGGAAAATGCAATGATTCGACTGAAGGGACTCCACATCCCTCAGAAGCAATTGGCATCTTGCTGGTCTTCTAGATCTAATTTGCAGCTGGAACATGATTGTGAGGGAAGAGTATCATTTAACACTTATCATCACATACCAAGTTTGCGCAACGCCGCGCGTGGGCAGAATCAGCCGCGCTCGTGTGGGTGGTTTTTTTTTTTTAAGATTTTATTTATTTATTTGACAGAGAGAGATCACAAGTAGGCAGAGAGAGAGGGGGAAGCAGGCTCCCTGGCTGAGCAGAGAGCCCGACACGGGGCTCGATCTCAGGACTCTGGGATCATGACCCGAGCCGAAAGCAGAGGCTTTAACCCACTGAGCCACCCAGGCGCCCCTCGTGTGGGTGTTCTGTGGGGCTTGATGATCTGCTCGGGGCTTTTCCTTCCAGCGCCGCAGCAGGTGCAGGAACGTGAGGCTCAGGTGTGGCCGCTTTCGGGGAGAGGATCTGGACAGGGAAGCAGCCTGGAGGTCGACGGTGGCATGCTTAAGCAAGCCTGATTTCGGAGTTCTTGGGACTGGCCTTGCCATTTCTGAGGCCAAGTGTTTGTGGTGGCTGAAATCCCCGCCTCGGTCCTCCGGCTGCAAGGTTGGAGCGAGTGGGAGCGGACTGGTCCAGCCCTGCAGCCAGAGGCTCTGGGAGCAGGCCTGAGTGGAGGAGTTTTTACAGGGGTGTGGTTGGTGAGGCCCGGAGCCCACGGCCAAGAAAGAGTTCTTGAGATGTCTTTTGTGCAAAAGGGGGATTTTATGAAAGCACGGGGACGGGACCTGGGGGCAGAAAGAGCTGCTGCCCCGGGGGTGTGAGGGGTGATTGATTGAGTACATGGGGTCTGGGGGCGGTAGGGACGTAAGCAAGTGTCCAAAAGGACCTTCATCTGCTGAAGAAGACTCCGGGACCCTGTCCAGCTGAGGCTGTTTCCCCTCCCGCAGAGCACTCACATTCAGACAGGTGGGGGCTCCCTGGGGGAAAGTCACACACATCCCACCTGGGCGTGAGGGGGCAGGTTGTGGGGGCGGCTCGGGCTTTGTCCTCGGCGCGCCTTCTGCTCCCGCATCAGCTGGAACCAGCTCGAGAGTGCAGTTGGGCTGCAGAACCGGGGGCGTCTGGCTAAGGGGGCATCAGGAAGGGTTTCTAGGGTGTGGGCCCGTGCTCGCTGGTGTTGGGGATGGGTTACGGGAGTGACGCTTTGCTGGGGATGTTGTTGGAGGAAGCGGGAGTGGGTGAGTGGAAGCCTAAGATATCGTACTCGGGAGAGAGAAGACTGGCCCCAGGCAGACCGTCTTCACTGGCCGGGAAACCCCGCAGGTCCTAGCAGGTGTGTTGCAGGGGGTTTGTCTGGGTTCAGACAGGCTAACGGAGCGCTCTGTTCTGCGTCCACGTCTCCGGCCGCTCGCACAGGGCCTGCCCGGTGGTGGTGATGCCGGTGCCTGCGCCACACTCACACTCGCGGGGCACCAGCCGGCTCCTGGGGGCTGCTTTCCTCTTTGAACTTTCCTGTCCACACTGGGACACCGCTGAGGGACCGGGGCTGCCATGGATGATCCTGCTGGGACTATCAATGATGATAGAGGATTAAAGTGGGAGCGCCCTCGGGAAACCAGCAGGAGCCGCACTCGCCGGAATCTTGCTGGTTCACTTCTGCTCTCACTTCCCTCCCGAGAGCCTTGATTGAGCTGGTTTTCCTCAGGCTGATGCTGACCACCGGCTGAGCCAGCATACAAGTGCCTTCCTCAGTGGGCTGTGGGCGGGGAGGGTTCAGCTGGGGAGACCCACTGAAGGCACCGCTCGCAGAGGAGGGGCTGGAGGGGTCGGTATGGCCGGGCTGGTCACTTTACCACTGGCAGGAGCGGGGTTGGGGGCCAGCCAGCCACCTAAGCTGGGGGGCTGCAGCTGTGGAGGGTCTCTGGCAGAGGCCCGAGAGGGAACGGACAGGATGGGGCAGAGGCTGGGGTGGGCGGCGATCAGCCTCTCGGTCTAGAAGCTTCCGAGCTGCAGATGAGCTGTCTGTGCATCCCCTGTATTCTTGCCTCGTTCCCCCAACCACCTTAGAGGCGGGTCTGCCGGGCCGGTCACACCCATTTTACAGAGGAAGAGAGCGGGTCCGGGTCTCTGGGGCTGGACAGGAGCAGGAGCCGGGGTCGGGCTCCGGCTTCCAGCTCCGCCAACAACAGCAAGAGTGGGCAGGACCGGGAGAGGGTGCTCTGGGCCAGGCCGTGTGCGGGACCAGGGGCCTGCCAGCTGGGGAGGGCGTAGGTAGTGGTGTAGCACCCCCAGAGCCAAGCCAGCTGCAGGGAAGGGGTTTTCCAGGTCTGCAGTGGCATTCGGCAAATGCAAATGATTTTGACATCCTGTCGGGAGGAGGGGATCTGTTATCACCTCCTCTGCTGTTCATCCTCCCGCCCTGTTTGTTTGGAGGCTGGGGCCCAGAGGACGCCTCACAGAGCTCTGCTGGAGAGCAGAGAGAAGGGGACTGGGACAGACTTGGTCCACTGTGAAAGCTGTGGGGGAGTCGGGCTGGCTCTGATGGAGAACACAGACCTCCAGAAAGTGTCAGAGAACCTGGGATCAGAAGGATGTGTCCAACGCACATGTGTGTGAGTGTGTGCGTGTGTCTGTGCAGACACACACGTGTGCAGTGTTGGCAGGATGGGGAGAGCCAGCTCTGGAGAGTTGTTGGGACCGTAGACAGCCCGCCTGAGGACAGGGAGTGTGCAGTAGGATCAGGGGCGGGGGGCGGGGGGCTGGCTCTGCTCACTGGGAAGGAGAGACTGGACAGGATCTGATAGGAGGGTGACTTGTGTCCAGATTTGCCCTGGACAGATTTGTTCTGGGTAATTATTATAGCTTCTTCTTTTGTTCTCAGAAATGTCCCCAATAAATTATTTGCTCACCCTCTGTAATGGGGAATGGAAACCACTGTGGGCTCAGATACCTCAAGCCGGAGTGCTGAGCCGAGCCAGCTCTGCCTGTCCTCTGTTCCTGGTCTGACCGTGACCTTTCACTCTTCTTCTGTCTCTGGGTCCGTTCCTGATTTCTGGCAGAGTGTCTTCTGTGTCTCTTCTCCAGACCACTGGTTGAGCACACATAGCCCTGAGTTTATAGAAGATAGAAACCGAGCGCTGTCCCAGAGGCCAGGGGCTTGGTCCTTCCTGTGACTAATTGTTCATTACCCTTGTGCCTCCAAGACCCCACGTGCCTCCTCCCTCAGAGCGTGTGCGTGCCGTGACCTCCCACGGGGAGAGCCCGCTTGCCCACAGTGGGACAACCGCGGAGGGAGCGGAGGTCACTTTCCAGGGACGGCGCACTCACCGGGCGTGAGGGCACGTCGCTGTTTACATTCAGTACGCGGATAGCCGTAGGTCTTGACCAGCTTCAGGGAGGGCTTGGAAAACATCAAAGTAGAACTCTGTCTGAAAATGGACTACGGCTCCGTCTCCAAAACCTCCACACCTTCCGTCCTGGGTATCTCAGCATCTCTCAGGTAGAGCCTCTCTCCCCTCTCCCCTGCTCTGCATGGCAATGACCAAGTGAGGGCTCCTGACCCCGCTTCACACACTGATAGCGAGGCCGTGACCCCTCGTCCTTAGGACAGTCTCGGAGCAGGGGCCGGACGGCTGTCTCAGAACGCTGTACTTTGCAATCCGCGGGCGTTTAATGAAGCCTCTGTGATCGTGAGGATAACAGGATGCCGCCATCTGGGATCCTGGAGGCTTGAGATGGAATCAGAGGGAAGTGGAAGGCAACGCACGTTCGGGAAGCTGAGCGACATACCAACAACACAGCCTCCCTGTCCGCGTTTTTCCACAGAGCGCACCATCCGAAACAAGAAACTATGACTAACGTGCATTGAAACATTTTCAACATCTCAAACTCAAGCTGGCCTTCAGCGTTGGTGAAGTTCTGGGCCACGTGTCTTCTGGTCTCAGCTCCTGCTCCTCCGCCCCGAAATAGCGCCGTGTCTGTGTCATGTCTCCTGGTGGCTCTGGGCTGCTCCGCTGCCCCGCCACAGCTCCACGTCACCTGGTCTCCTACCTGAATCAGCCTGCTTTTCTCCATGCTCCACTCGCCCGCTCCAGGCTCTGGCCGTTCACCCCACTCATGTCCCTCTGAACATTCGGTGACAGTCATTAGTAGCACTTCTGCAATAAGCACTGGGTCTTCGCCCCAAGGTCCCACTTAGTGGTTGGGTGACCTCAGGTCAGAAATGTCAACTTTTTGAAACTTGGTTTCTTTGTGTGGGAGGAGCGCACCCAGGTGCCCTTGTTTGTGGGTGAGCCAGGCTAAGGGGCTGCTGGGGTGGTGGGGGGGGACTGGTCCATGAGACACACAGGTGGAGGGGAGCACTGGGTACCCGAGTCTAAATGAAGCGTGACTTTTACACGGTACATCTTGCTTGTCCCAGCCCTACCCCCAGAGTCCATGTGTCGTCAGCCAAAGTTCATCTCTAAAACCCATTACCGGGGCGTCTGGATTCCTGTTCTCTTCTGTGGGCCCAGGCGGCAAGAGCCTGCCCCTGTGGGAGCCCACCCTGAGCTTCTCTGCCTCCGGGATTCTTTCCTCCGGAGATCGCTTCGTGACTGAGGGAGAGTTCTCCAAATGTATTCCCGAAAGAAACAAAGCTCTGTACCTGGTCCCTTTGACTTTCCAGAAAGTTATTACTGGCTGTTTCTTGATGCTTTATTTTAGAGAATTTTCTGCCCACCGTGCAGGCCTGGCTCACCCTGTGGAGGTCAGTCGCAAGTGCCACAGAGCTTCGTGTTCGTCGTGGAGCCACTGACCTCTAGCAGGAGGCCTGTTAGCAAAGGGACAGTGCGTCACCGCGGGCAGTGAGCGCTGCCTGCCACGGGCTGTCGGGAGCGACGGGCGTCATAGTGTTCGATGTCTCGCCGCCGACTGACTGATGTGGGAGGCCACAGGCAGGGGTCCTCTAACTGTTTCCTTTGAAAAAGTCCAGGCCTACCCTCTGTTTGATAGAACTCAATGTCCAGCACCTACAAACTCAACTGCGGTCTTTACTGTCACTTTACACACGTTCAGTTTTTGAAAATTGGGTAAGACACGTCCCTTTTTAAATTGAAGAGAATGACTGTGTAAAATCCCCCATTTTCAGGCTAATCACTGGAAACAGGTTTCCTGTGCTTAGAAAAAGCACGGAAAGAAGGACACACCAATATGGAGATTGTCGTTTTGTAATTTTTTTTTTCAATTTGTTTTCCCCTTTCCCTCTCAACACTATTTCCTAAATAAATGTACCTGGTGTATTTAACTTCTTCTCAGGTTCCGTTGTCTGCTTTCTGGATCCGCATTGCTCGCCACCCTTCAGCGGCCTGCACATTCTGTTGGACTCGCACGGTTCTGCCGCCCCGGGCTTCCCTCGGCCGCCCCCGGCTAACCGTGTGCCCCGAGTTTCCGGCTCCTCACGTCACTGCTGGTGCCTTGAGCGGCTGCACAGGTGTTAACTCCTCTCCAGGTGGCTTTTGACCAGTTGGAAACAGAAGACGGCAGGACAAGTTAGATTTGCCCTCCTTCCCCTCCTGCCCCGAGGAGTGCGACCCCCGCACAGCCTGTGCCACACTCCGAGAAGCATGACATCTCGTGTCACTTCAGGGCTCAGGAGACAATGCCCAGGGAAGTAACATCCCGCCTGACACCCTTCCCGTTCTTGCCACCTCTGATCCCAGAGCAAGAGGTGACCACGAGGTGGCAGGGTCACACACGGCTTTCTGTGGGCGATGTTTTGGGAGGTTTGTGTGCGGGGAAGTCCCTTAGGGAGTGAGACCTTCCCGAGCTACATGGTGGGGCCACCAGCCGGCAGCTGGGGGGAGGCCGGGGGAGGGGGACCCCATGTTCAGGGGCGTGGCGCAGCAGCTTAGTGGGGAGTCTCTGGGTCTGCGCCTCCAAAGGGCAGCGGCAGCTTGGGGTCTTGATAGGCCTGGGGTTTGTCTGCTCTGTGGCTGGCAGATGCTGGGCGCAGTGCTGTGGGGTGTACAACGCAGACAGGCTCTCTGTGGCTGAAAATGTGCTTATTTGGTTTATGTTTAAAACAGCTGGAAATGTAAAATTTTGAGTTTAGTTGCTGGTAGGCTTTTCAGTAAGCCACGTGCGGCCCACCGTACAGGCCATCTTCGGCAAGTAACATCGTTTCCCATGGCTTCCCATCCTTGGCCATCTGCGGGGGTTTTGAGGGACTTTGGGGCTGATCCTGGCGCATGATGTGGCCACCAGGTGGCAGAAGCACACACAGCTTTAATCCTCCCTGCTTTGATACCGTCATCCATACATATAGCTTCAAGTTCCAAAGAGGGGAGACTTGGGGTGACTGCAGATCGTGCTGTATCGGGTAATCGCAGAGCTCCTCTAACCTAGGAGGGTCCGGCAGACACTGGGCTCTGGTCAGGGATCCCACTTCAGTCTGTGGCTTAAGACAAGTCCTACTCACGCTCCACCTCTGCAAGACACATCATTGAGGCTCTCCTGTGGGGTCCAGGTGGGCAGCAGAGCCCAGGATTTCTTTCTGGTTCATTGTCACCATCCACAAAACATAAGTATGGCACTGTTTAATGTTTTTGAAATGAAAATGTATAGTATCTTTTTTATTTTGATTAGGGAAAAGACTTTTTTTTTTTTTTAAAGATTTTATTTTATTTATTTATTTGTCACAGAGAGAGAGAGTGAGAGCTCAGGCAGAGGGAGTGACAGGCAGAGGGAGAAGCAGACTCCCTGCTGAGCAGGGAGCCTGATGTGGGTCTTGATCCCAGGACCTTGATCCCAGGACCTGAGCCAAAGGCAGATGCGTAACCGACTGAGCTACCCAGGCATCTGGGGAAAAGGTTTTTTAAGCAAAAGCCAGAAATGATCAACATAAAAGAATGATACACCTAATTGTTTTAGAGTTAATAATTTTTTAAAGATTTATTTGAAGGAGAGTATGTACATGAGCGTGCACGTTTGGCATGTGGGGGGAGAAAAAGAGGGAGAAGAGAGAGAGACTCAAGCAGACTCCCCACTGAGAGCTGAGCCTGATGCAGGGCTTGATCCCACGACCGTAAGATCATGACCTGGGTCGACACCAAGGTCTGGACGCTTCACCGACTGAGCCCCCCAGGTGCCCTTAAAGTTAAGAATTTCTACCCATCAAAAGACAGTGTAAGTATCTTTAAAAATCACAAACTGAGAGAAGATATTTAGGACACACATAATGATTCAAGTATTAATATCAAAATATATTTAAAATTTCTGCAGGACAATAAAAAGATAAAGTAGAAAAATGGGCAAAAGATGGGGACAGTTTACTGTAAAGGGAAAAAGAAGTGGCCAATAAACATGTGAAGACCTAGTCCATTACATTATTGATCAGATTGGCAAAATTAAGGAACCTGATCCTATGAAATGGCAGGAAGGATAGGAGCCAAGAACTTGTCTGACTCAACTGCTGGTGGAACATTGCCTGACACAATTGCTTTAGTTTAACAACATTCATGTTTTCTTGTAATTTGAATATCTACATACCCTGTGATTGATCAGAAGCGATTCTCTTCTTAGATATATACTCAAGAAAAATGTTTTGACATGTGCGCCTGGAGAAAATATTTACAGCAGCACTATTCTTAATACGAAAAAACTGGAAGCAATCCAAATTCCCATTGAATTTCCAGTGAAAAAGAATAGATTATAGGTGGGCCTTATAGATTATATGTGGACCCTCTGAATTTTCTTTAGAGAAAATTCATAAAGCAAGGGATGGTTTTAGAATGAGGATCTGTGCTGGGTGTGGATGCAGATTCCCATGTGTTGGAGGGAGGCACGAGCTGTCAGCTGACAACACCTCAAAACGCTATCAGTAAAATGTGTTGAACCAGAAGAGTGAAGCTTATTAAATTTCCCACACTCAGAGCTCCACCTTGACAGTCTCATATGGTCTCAGAAGGAGAACGTCGAGGGAGGATATTCGTAGGATTTGAGTACCCAGGCTGGCAGACTTTAAGGTGTGTCTGTGTGGTGGTTAATTTTATGTGTGAACTCAACTGGCCAGGGGGTATCCAAATTAAACACTATTGCTATGTGTGTCTGTGAGAGTGTTTCCAGGCGAGATTAACATCTGGGGGTGGGGAGGGGCAGAGGGAGAGGAAGGGAGAATCTCAGAGTCCCCACTGAGCACGGAGCCCAGTGCAGATGCAGGGCTCCAGGCAGGGCTCAGTCTCACGACCCCGAGCTCAGGACCTTGAGCTCCTGACCTGAACGGAAATCAAGAGTTGCACATGTAACCGTCCAACCGACTGAGCCACCCAGGCAGCCTGAGGTGAACATTTGAAAGAGTGAACTCAGTGAAGTAGATTGTCCTCTTGTCCATCTGTTTCACTGAGGGCCTGAATATAAAAAGAGGTAGAGGAAGGAGGAATTTGTCCCTTTTTTACTTGCCTCGTTGATTGAGCTGGGACATCTTATCTCGTCTTTTCCAGCCCTTGGACTGGGATTTATACCATGAGCGCCGCCGATTCTTTGGTCTTTGGATTGGGGCTAAACTATACCACCAGCTCTCCTGAGTCTCCAGGGCATAGGCAGCAGACAGGGGACTTCTCAGCCTCCATAATCATGTGAGCCAGTTCCTCATAATAAATACCTTCTCTATCTATCCATCTGTTTATCTGTCCACCATCGTCATCTCTTCATCATTTCCACTCTGTTTCCCTGGAGAACCCTGGCTGAGACAGCCCACTCTACAGGGTACTGATTGGTAATGGGGCAAGTTTATATCATAATAACTTCAGACTGGTGGGCACAGAGAGCTGAAGGTCTCAAAGAGAGTGTTAATGGGCAAACTGTGAGTCCTGAGAAGTAAGTTCTTATGGTTGGTTTACAGAGCTGTGTTCCTGGGGCAGTGATTCCTTGGAGCAAGCGCCTGATATATTTTTGCTTGATGCTAACATATTGTTCAGCAGGAATAAGAAAGTATGTTTCTTCCAAATGTTTAGCCCAGAAAGAGTAAAACATGTTTATTCTCAGAATTGTCTGGCACAGCAATAAAGTATGTTGGTTTCAGTTATTTCTCTTCCCTCTTTGATAGTTTTTTAGCCTAGCTGGAGGATAAACCACGGTCTTCTGGGGACACGATCAATCCTGATCTGTACCACTGTTTTCCCGTGTCATCGGTACAGCTAGAGTATCTCATAGGAGGCATTCCAACCTTTGTAGGTGTCCGAGGTGCTTGTGCGTTTCATTAGAAGATCACTCGTTGGATCCTTTGATTGGATAGTAGCTGTGTAGCAGCTCTAAAAACTGGAGACCACACACCTGAGCCCTGCAGTGCAAACACTGTGAGAAGGACTGTGGTCAGAGTGTGTAGTCCACATCAAAGCCAAATTAAACCATATACCCAAGTTAAACAAAAAGAAGATCTCATCCCTAGTCTGAAGAGCTACATGAGAATATTCCCTCAATTAGTTCATTTCATGATTATTTTTCTTTTCCAGAACTTTTGGTCATATTAAAAAATCCAAGAGAGGGGTACCTAGGTGGCTCAGTCAGTTAAGTGTCCGACACTTGGTTTTGGCTCAGGCCATGATCTCAGAGTCCTGGGATCGAGCCCTGGGTTGGGCTTTGCACTCAGCATGGAGAGTGATTGTACTTCTCCCTCTGCTTCACCCCCCCACCCCCCAGTCTCTCTCTTGCTCTGTCAAATGAATAAATAAAAAATCTTTTAGAAAGATCCAAGAGAGATCTGTAGATATGTAAGCAAAATATTCTTTTCATCAGTAAGTACAAGTTCTACCTTGAGAGGCCAGTCACATCTAAACAGCTCTATTTTGAACCACTACCCATGCACTTTCATAAACTCCTCTTGAGTCAAGACTATCCTGAAGACATAAATCAGGGTACAGAGAAAACAAATTCCTATACAATTTATGGGTCATAGCCAATAGATTTTTGTGCTACAAATCCCAAACCAGTCATTAGGGACAATCTGATGATATATTCCAGCCAAAACATAACTGGGGATAGGCTACCATCTTAGAGCTTGATAAAATTTGAAACCACTCATCAAGTGTGGTTCTGAGCCAGGTGGTGGACATTTTAGAATATAGATCAAGCAAAATAGATTTCAAGCAGAAAAGCACAGGTTTGAGCCTAAGCAGGGCACCTCTGCTTTCTTGTAAGGTCTGTAAAAGTGAGATAGCTTCGAAATATACAGCAACTGTTCCTGCTTTTTTACTGACTTTCTTTTTGTAAAAGTCCTATTATATAAGGCAACTCCTATGAAAAGCGCTTGAAT